CCACGACAAAGACGAGGCATAGGAAGGAGCGACACTCAAGAACACCAAAAAAGTAAGCGACTCATAGGGTACCCGACCTGGGTGCACTGGCACTAAGATATCTCTCGGATTCGAAGCGGTGCGGTTGTCACCGCGAGAATCAGAGGAACCACCGGCAGCAAGGACGATGGAGCCCGGCATCGGCGGCGCGGTGCGTCGCATTGAGTGCCTCCACAGCGAGCTCGAAGCAGCGGTGCGCGGCTCCAGTGGAGAGCGAGGTCGTGGCCGTGGCGACGGTTGTGGAGAGCGGCGGTGGACTAGAGGAAGAAGAAGGGAACGGCGACGGCTTGGAGGAAGAAGAAGAGGAGTATGGGGTGCGGCGGCTGCTGGGATTGGAGAGGGTGCCGGCTGCTTCGGTGTTTATAGGGCGAGTGGCTTAGGGCTTCCAGGGGCTCCGTCCATCCTCGACGTCCGTGCGCAGGCGGGGACACGTGGCGCGCATCAAGTGACGCGGAAGCCGGGGCGCTGTCGGGACGCGCTTATGGAGCGGGCGTTCTGGCGGCGGCGCGGCGTCTGGGAGGCTGTGGCGCGCGCGCCTAGGGTTGAGTGGGGCTTTGGCTTGGCTGCGCCAGGAGCCACGCCAGTGGCGGCAGCCAGGCTCGTGGGCTGGTGTGGTGCGAGACGGGCCGGCGAGGCAAGGGGAGGGGGGTTCGGTTGGGTTGCTACGCTGGTTGGGCCAAGCAGACCACGCGTGAGCGTGCCGAGCGAAGCAAGGGGCTGGGTTGGTTGTTCATTACTTGGGCCGAGATGCCCTTTTCTTTTCCTCTGTCTTCTTTTCCTTTTCTATTTCTTATTTCTATCCTACTCTATGCCATGGGTTTCTCACATTGGAATACATGGGTTGCCAACACGTTTACCTCCTAGGTCTTATATGTGCGTACCCGCATGTATTAACAACATGCTTACTCATCGTGGTGGTCTACTAGGGGTCTTAGGTTTTAGGGACTCCGGTCCAATGGTCGGCACAAATATAAATGGCAAGTCCGGGTTCTAGTGGGGTTCGGGGTTATAAGGAGATATTAACGGAAGACTCGAAATAATCCCGCGAGGATCACAGGGGGTTGCTATAGGTTGTGCTCTCCAACAATAATCAAGACTCAAACACAGGACAAATCGAAAACTCCGGCAATCACCTACAAACCATCTACATGTATGCAACATCTTGTTAGCGAGTTGGACTCGTGTTTGACCTAGCAATTACATGTTTCACACATTGCAGCAAAAATTTTAAAAAGTTCGTGTTTTTGGCTTCTCCAAAAACCCGGGTTGTTACAGTACCAGCTCAGAATTTGATGCAATATTCTCGCAAGGATGCAAAATAGAAGATGAAGGTACATAGTAAGCGTCACTAACTTATGCCAATCATTGCTGACTACTCAATGTGTGGGACCAGAGTTTGCGCAAACATAAAATTTTGTTCGGAGATGACAATGTGTCTCAAATTTCTCAAAGATCCTCAACATAAACCATCTTATTTCCAATTGACAACAACAACAACAACAAAGCCTTTTTTAAGTCCCAAACAAGTTGGGGTAGGCTAGAGTTGAAACCCAATGGCTAGCAATCAAGGTTCGGACATATGAATAGTTGTTTTTCCAAGCACTCCTATCTAAGGCTAAGTCTTTGGGTATATTCCATCCTTTTAAGTCTCCTCTTATTGTCTCTACCCAAGTCAACTTCAGTCTTCCTCTGCCTCTCTTCATGTTACTATCCTGGCTTAGGATTCCGCTATGCACCATTGCTTCTGGAGGTCTCCGTTGGACATGTCCAAACCATCTCAACCGGTGTTGGACAAGTTTTTCTTCAATTGGTGCTACCCCTAATCTATCATGTATATCATCGTTACGAACTCGATCCCTTCTTGTATGACCGTAAATCCAACGCAACATACACATTTCCGCGACACTTATCTATTGAATATGTCGTCTTTTCGTAGGCCTATATTATGCATCATACAACATAGCAGGTCTAATTGTCGTCCTATAAAACTTGCCTTTTACCTTCTGTGGTACCATTTGTCACATAGGACACCAGATGCTTGGCGCCACTTTATCCACCCTGCTTTAATTCTATGGCTAACATCTTCATCAATATCCCCGTCTCTCTGTACCATTGATCCTAAATATCGAAAGGTATCCTTCCTAGGCACTACTTGACTTTCCAAACTAATATCTTCCTCCTCTCGAGTAGTAGTGCCAAAGTCACATCTCATATACTCAGCTTTAGTTCTATCGAGTCTAAAACCTTTGACTCCAAAGTCTCCCCGCCATAACTCCAGCTTCGATTCACTCTGTCCGCTTTCATCAACTAGCACTACATCGTCTGTGAAAAGCATACACCAAGGATGTCCCCTTGTATGTCCTTTGTGACCTCATCCATCACTAAGGCAAACAGATAAGGGCTTAAAACTGACCCTTGATGTAGTCCTATCCTAATCGAAAAGTCATCCGTGTCTCCATCACTTGTTTGAACACTAGTCACAACACTGTTGTACATGTCCTTAATGAACCCGACGTACTTCGTTGGGACTTTATTTTTGTCCAAAGCCCACCACATAACATTTCTTGATATTTTATCATAAGCCTTCTTCAAGTCAATAAAAACCATGTGTAGGTCTTTCTTCTTCTCCCTATACCAATCCATAACTTGTCTTATTAAGAAAATGGCTTCCATGGTTGACCTTCTGGGCATGAAACCAAATTGGTTCATAGAGACCCGCATTATTGGTTCGATCGAAAAATATGGTTGAACAGCTTGGTTAGCCATACTATAGCTATGTCCCCGAGGCATCTCCACACCTCGATTGGGATACCATCCGGTCCCATCGCCTTACCTCCTTTCATCATTTTCAACGCCTCTCTGACCTCAGATTCTTGGATTCTCCGCACAAAGTGCCTATTGGTGTCATCAAAAGAGTCATCTAACTGAAAGGTTGTGTCCGTATTCTCACCATTGAACAATTTGTCAAAATACTCTTGCCATCGATGTCGGATCTCATCCTCCTTTACCAAGAGATGCTCACTTTCATCCTTAATGCACTTAACTTGGTTGAAGTCCCTTGTCTTTCTCTCACGAACCCTAGCTATCCTATAAATATCCTTCTCTCCTTCCTTCGTACTCAAATGTTGGTAAATGTTGGTAAAGATCCTCGCATCTCTACCTTTTGCCACACTTACGATTCGCTTTGCGCCTTCTTTGCCATCTTGTGCTTCTCTATGTTGTCCACACTCCCTCGTCATGGTACAAGTGTCTATAACATTCTTTCTTCTCCTTAATATCACTTTGGACTTTTTCGTTCCACCACCAAGTATCTTTATCCTCGCCTCCACTTCCTTTGGTTACTCCACACACCTCTGAGGCCACCTTCCGAATATTGGTTGCCATCTTCTCCCACATGTTGTTTATGCCCTCTTCTTTCTTCCAAGAGCCCTCTTTGATAACCCTTTCCCTGAATACATCTGACGCCTCCCCTTTCAGTTTCCACCACTTTGTTCTTTCAATCTTAGCTTGTTTATCCTTATGGACACGCACCTGAAAACGAAAGTCTGCCACCAAAAGCTTATGTTGAGAAACAACACACTCCCCTAGTATCACCTTGCAACCCAAGCATGCTCGTTTGTCCTTTCTTCTTACGAGGACAAAGTCAATCTGGCTAGAGTATTGTCCGCTACTGAAGGTCACTAGATGAGATTCTCTCTTTCTAAAGAAAGTGTTGGCTATCATCAGGTCAAAAGCTACCGCGAAGTCTAGAACTTCCTCCCCCTCCTGATTCCTACTACCATATCCAAAACCTCCATGAACTGCCTCGAAACCTGTGCTTATAGTACCTACATGTCCATTAAGATCTCCTCCTATAAAAAACTTCTCACTACTAGGTACAATTCTAATCAGGCCATCTAAGTCTTCGCAGAACTGTCTCTTAGCACTCTCGTCGAGACCTACTTGGGGGGCATACGCACTAATTACGTTCAAGACCATATCACCAACGACAAACTTGACTAAGATAATTCTATCTCCTTGCCTTCTCACTCCCACCACACCATTCTTGAGGCTCTTATCAATCAAAACTCTTACTCCATTTCTATTCATGGCCGCCTCTCAGATAACAAAGCTTGAAACCTGTATTGTCCACCCCTTCGCCTTCTGACCCTCTTATTTCCAATTGAACACTCATATAATTAGAACAGAGCACCATGCTATCTGAAGTGTGAACTGAAGGTAGCTAGAAAGTTCTGTTCCTTGATATGAACTGATAACATAGCACAAACTGGAGAGCTCCAATACAAGGGGAATTAATTATTATTACTGCATCTTGTAAGTTGTAATTAACAAGATACGGTTCAAACTTTGAACAGTTAATTACTTGTAGAAAAATCTCCCTTGTGATTCTGATTGTCACAGTCACCCTAAAAAACTCTGTCGTGAATAAATCCCCAGTTCATTAAATTTATTGGGCCCAACAGAAAGTTTTTTTGGTGCATATCAAGTCATGTTAGATGAGTGGTTAGGATTGTACACTTATTAACAACTAATTATTAGTTACAATAAAGAGATGGCTTGGTCGTACTTTTCTTTGGGACAGGGGTGGTTATCAGTTATTAACACATTTATAGTGGTACTGTCTTAGTGTTAAGACATGTACCTTACACAATGCAAATCAGGCCCGTCACCAAATCTAACCACAAATTCATGACAGAGCAAACATAGATGGTACTAATGTGCATATTAGGCTGAACAATCTCAGGTGGCTCAGTTCCCTTCAAATTAAAATCTTCACGCCACTCACTATCTGATTCAGCGGATGATATGAGCGATTGGATGTGCTAAAAAAGTAGCTAAAAGGGTAGCCTTTTGATGCTAACTGCACAACCTGGAACTGCGGTGGTGATGATCATTACTAATTAGTGTCACAAAAAGGAAAGTTCAATCTTGAATTGACATGGTTATCCATAGGGCAAAACATAGATATTGTCCTCAAATTGGCGATTGGCTCAAGCCAACTACTTCTAGTAGGGATTCCCTACTAGGAGAGAATAAAAAAAAGATAGGACAAAGATCACAACTTTTTCGAAAAGATTGAAGAAGCTTGAGCTGTGAGAAGAAAGTGGGTGTCCACTCAACAAAAACAACAACATCGTCCCTTTCAAAAAAAACAACAATGTGCTAGACGAAAAAATCTAAAAGGTACAGCATAATCTCAAAGACTGTCTGAGTGCAGCTCACATCCTATCAGAATTCAGAATTGTGCCTGCCAGCAGCTTCTGCTACCTGGCTTTTCTTGCCCTGCCCAGTGCCCAGCGAGAAATTGGGGCGGCGGGAACGTCAACACCGATTGCACGAGCACCAAACACTTGGTGCTGAGAGCCTGAGATCACCATCTTCCATCAGGGCCACGCCGGTGCCGGTCAATGGACGCAGAGAGCGCCGGGATCTCGGTGACGATTTTCCTAATTGAAAAGCAGAATGGAAACGCAAACGATGTCTGACTTGTTCACGCTTCACACGCATCCCTGTCGTCCTTATCTCGTACAGCTTCTCAGTTTCTAATTCGCATCGAACAACCGTTTAAGAATCTGGACGAATATGTTGAGGATATGTGCCAGGAGGCTTAGACTGACAACCGCTGCGGGTCCTCTGACCGCAGCGCGTGCGCGGTGACCACGCTCCCGCGCCCACGCGCAGCAGCCACGACGTACACGATGCACTCTAGCGTAGGCATACGGTTGCCAAAGCAACCTTGTAACACTATAAACATTGCTCTGAGATTAATAGAACACCTGTTGGCTCTCATTTCCCTTTCTACATGGTATCAGCAAGCTCGGGTTGATCCCTCGCCATCGTGCTCGCTGCATCGCCGCCTCCTTCCCTCCGCTCCGCTGCCTCTCCCCGGCAGTCGCCATGCCCACCATGGACGACAATCCCCTCTTCGGTCTCGGTTCTTCCGACTCCGACGACAACTCCGATGTCTCCTTCACCTCCTTTGTCGGCGACGATGCCCCTGCCACCACGTCTCCCACCGCAGTGCTTCAAACCGTCAACATCAAATCCCACATCCCAGTTGTTCTCGAGCTCGCCATCGCCGAACTTCGACGAATGGCGATGCTTCTTCGACGCATTCCTTGGCAAGTTCAGCCTCACCTCCCACGTTTCATCTCCGCCAACCGCCACCAGCGCCATGATCCCGACCGGCGTGTGGTTGATCAGTACATCTTGAGTTGGTTGTACAACTCCATCGCGCCAAGGACGTCGCGACATCGCGGCGCCATCCGGCGACCGCGTCTGCGCCTAGGGCGCTATCCACGATCAATTCCGCGACAACGAGCTCCATCGCTATTGCCTACCTGGCGTGTGGCGAATCCGCCCGAGATAGCACGCTACGGAGGTACTCGCCTCCCACTGCACACTAAGCACCTGAAAGCAAGCTACTGGTGGCGATATCCGGTCGGGCACACCCGAAGGAGAGAACCCAAAAATCCACATTTTTTTCCAAGGATCCAATAATGAGAATGAGTTACAATACTTGTCCATTTCGGTACATCGTAGTTTCTTAAAATACATTATTACAATACCAAATGTCGAGTACGAAATGATAAACAACGAATTTTAAAATAAACATCTAGCGATAAGAATGAGGATCTATCCGAGCCCACCGTAAGAATCCTCCACACAAGGGTACTTCTCATGCATCACTTGCAACAGGTAAATAAACCCTAAATACACAATGTACTACTGCAAGACTTATCCGACTAGTGGGAATAATTTTCGACTCCAAAGAATATGATAAGCTTTATGGTTTGCGGTTTTCTTTTTAGCGTAAAGCAATACTAACAAAGTGAGTCCTTATTTATGTTATTATTATCACCGTATTAAGTTATCATCTAACTAGTCTATATAAGCAACTGTTCTACTTTCAAATAAGAGTTGAGCAATCGGTTCCAATTCATCACATTTCATCTTTCGCCTTACTATGGTACTAGACACGAAACAAGCCGCACTCGACCGCCTTGGGATTCGCAAAATCAATGTGCCCAGCTTGGGTGCCCAAAAACACACGCCTCCCATGCTTATACCCTAGGCACAAGCAGACTAACCCATTGCCCTCCCTGCCTTAGGTGTCCAAGTCCCGTCCAAACTTGACTCCAAGCTTCCCTCCTGAGTCCCGACTCAAGCTGGTGCAAGGACCTCCACCATCCCCACCTCCCATCAGTCGGTCCGGAAAGAGCCAGATCCAGGACAAGAGAGCAACAAGTCTTCCCTGCGCCCAACCCAAGTATGCGCTTGGGACAATAAATCTGTGACTTGACCACGATGCCTTATGCAATGACCGATCCTTAATTGACACAAATAGAAAAAAAGTGTAACCGAGCTATGCCCTATTGGTCACAGGACACAACCCCTTACACCCACCAAAGACTTTCAAAACCATATCCTTGCCTTGGCCACCATTTTCCTTTCCACCATTTTAACATGAGTGATCATATTTATCACATATTTACGAGTAACGGCAGGTTACTCACGCTACCGATATTCTGAGCATAGCATCTACTCGACCTATGCTAGTAGGACTCATGGTTAGATATATTTATGCATGTAGTCTCTATAAAATTCCTGTAACTTAAATGCACATCATATATATATTCAGTGATCATAAAATAGGGGTTATGCACCGGGGCTTGCCTTGGGCAGGCGACGGGTCAGTAAGGTAAGCACCAAAAGGCTCTGGGGCTCCCTCCGGCATGAGGATCTCCTCCTCGTACTCCTCAATCACCTCGTCGTACTCCTACTCGTCGATGGGCACGAAGTCTACCAGCTCATGATCTACATACACGAAATGATGATGCAATGCTTAGTAATAAAGCAACAACAACTCTTAAAATAAAGGTACATCTGTTTAACCACTAAGCTAGTGCTACTGACCATAGTACTAAGCTATCTATCGTTGCCGATAACAAGTTTGAAGTATGACATTCATTATTATTATAGCAACTACAGGTGTTCTTACTCCTAATACTGATTTACGCTATATATGATAAAGCAAGGATAATGGCTACTCTATTTATCATCCTATTCTAGGGCTACAAAATCTACAGCAAGTACATAATAATCTAGTGAGGCTACTATCGGTGGGGACCCACGGGATACCCCGCAAGGGAGGGAGAAGATCTAGTCTAACTAGGATTCTTCCCATGTAATCTTAGTAGTATTATTATTCGTAATCCTACTAGGAACTCTCATTGTAAACCGACTAGGATTCTCGACCTCCCACTATATATATAAAGGAGGGCGGGGTTCCTAGAGATGGAGGATCACGACTTTTTACGAATCGTGAATAACACAACACTTCACAATCAATCCAACGCAAGGCTAACGCCGATCGGGACATAGGCTATTACTCGATCAACGATCGAGGGTCCGAACCAAAGATAAATCGATCGCCTCTTGTGTTTACCGTCGAAGTTCTCGCAAACGCCAAGCCCGAACAAATCGCCTGTACCCCAAAGGGTAGGCTATCGGTGGTAAACATCGATAGTCGGGCGCGCGGTAGGGGGGCTTTCGGCGAATTACATCCGAGAGCTCGATGGACCTCGACAACATGATCTTCTCGATGGGATCAACCTTCATCTTCGGCTCATGGATCTATGAGGCAGGCGACGATGGCAAGCTCCAAAGCCGTCTCCTCGAAGATTCGGTTCTCTAGGAAGACTTTTCTATTTCGGCAACGAAGACAGATCAAATTACCGGAAGGTTCACGCGGCTCGTGATGTCCGATTCAACTCAGGTTTTGTGGCTTTGCGCATCCGACTCGAACTCAGGCTCCGCATCCGAGATGGAGTCTGACCCGAGTTCTTTTGAGAATCCGAGTTCTTTTCCGATGGGGCTCCAGTAACGCGGCCTCGGCATATCAAGAATACAACCCGAGAACACTCTTAGTAGTCTTTCTAAGAAGTCGGGTCCTTTTCTGCTTGGACTCCACAACATGGCAACATCTTATCGTATATGGCCCGAAGGATTCCTCAATCCGGTGCTTAGAATGCCACCAAGGGAGGTCGAAGGTCTCGTACTAACTATAACATCTCAAGACCGCATCGTCCACCGGCCAGTGCTCGCTTCTCGAGGGTAGCAAGACCAATCGGGTCGACACACGACGACAACAACAATTCTACCCTACCAAGAAGGAGACTCGATCTGTGACCTCGGCCTCTACTAAAGTTATCGCAAGAATCTCGATGTTGTGGAAACTAACGCCGATAATGTAAAGAGTTCACGCACGGAAGTACTCATGGTTTGCCGCCCCCGATCACCATTGGTCCCCTGGCGCCCGATGTCGTGTCATCGGATGAATCGAATCCAACATATCACCCTTCGTCTGTATACGATGGTGAGACTAAGACTCGTAGCAAGCTAGAGAAAGAAAAAACATGTCAAAACAAGGACGCCAAAACCGTGCTAGGCAGCGCAAGGAAGCTTGGATCAGATATGAGTACAATAGAAGAAAATCAGAACGAGAAGTCGAAGAAAGGCACACGACAAATACACCCCACGATAAGATCAGAGAAGCACTAGAAGAACTTAGAGCGACTTCACATCCAGTGAAAAACAAGAACAGCTCTAGGACTTTCTCCGGTCAGCAGCCCTGAGGACGCACGACAGAAGGACCCGGTCAAGACTACCTGCCAGGTCAACGTCTCATAGGCAAGAAGATCAAAATCAAAGGAAGTCCGCTTTCGAGAGACTTAAACCGAGCGGAAGTCATAACAGAGAAAGTAGAAGGGACCATAGTCAGAACTACCTAGTTGATCAACCAAGAAAGACCAGAAGCAGGGCGCCTGCCCAGACAGCCTCGCAGAACTACTCTCATTAAAACAACAGTTGGCCAGAAGGAGGTGCCGAATCAGAATACAAAGAAGCCAAAACGCACGATAGATTCCCCTGTTTTGCGAACAGACTTGCTTCAATACGACTACCTCACAAGTTCAAGCCGTCCAACCACTCTAAGCATGATGGCAAGATCAACCAAGG